TGGGGGGGTTAGGGTAAGGTTTTTGCTTTAATTTTAATTTTATTTCAATTTTTAATTTTTTTCGTCGCGCTGTGATGACGTCAAATGCGCGCTTTCGTCGAGCGCGATTTTGTCCTCCGTGGTTTTGACGGGTCACGGTTAGAAGGGGGGGGGATGTTTTTCTGGCTATTATTATTGATCACTGGAAAGCAGCCCATGATCAGTTTCACCCTGCATAGGACTCATCGGGATGCAAATCTTTTTACTCTCTTATGTCTAATAGGCACAGCATGAGGCACATTAAGTCAATTGTCTACTTTTAGCTTTCTTTGGTTGTCAGACAGGTGCAGGCAAGTTCCTTTCCAGTTCCAGAAGCTTAATATGTAGCCAAGCAAATTTTATCTCTCCCCCCTCCTTTCCTCCAAACAGGGCTGTGTGGAAACAAGGACATAATTTTTTTCAACAGAATCCCACCAACTTCCTCTTTGTAATTGGCAAAATGTTCTTGGGATTGGCAACAGCCATTGGAAACAACCCAATTTCTCAGGACTAGAGCCAAGGATAAATTGGGCCAGTTCACAACCAGCTTTTAGTTCTACAATCTTCCAACATAATTGGAGCCAAGGAATGAGGCGGGGTTATGCAAATCATTGCGGACTCGGGTTACCACTGGAGCTGTGTCTCCCACTGAGTTTAAAGGAAAAATTGTTCTCCAAGGAACAAATCAATGGAGTGAGATTGAATCTAATCACCCCAATTCTTCAGATTCATTCTTCGATTTTCCCATCATCCGCAAATATAGCTTTTAAAGAAAAACTGGAAGGTTTAAACTTGGCCCATTAGCACGTTCGATTTACAAATTCAGCAACCTTTATTCGAGCAAATTATTCTGGAATCTCTTCTTTTCTCCACTACCAAGCCAGAGGAACAGTTGCACTTTATGCACCCGCTTTCTATCCTGCAATACTTGTATTATTTTTTTCATTCTATTTATTGTAATCGCCCGCTCCAGCGGACTCTTGGCGGCTTACAAAACATAGCACATTAAAACAAGTAAAAACTAAAAAGAGCCATTAAAGAAAAAGCACGACCGGTGGGGGGGGGGGATTGAATTAAGAACTCTCGAGCTTGAACATGCGATCTATCTCGCATTGCTTGTTACACAAGTTTCCACTATTGAATCACGAGAGTCTAGAGGGATGGGAAGACTAAAATAGCGAAGTTCTCCTTATCCCCAATGGTTAAAATGAAATGAGGCAAATATTCTAACTTTAGTC